TCTACGTATACGCTATTCATAGTTGTCCGTGCGTTCGATTCTTCACATTAAACGGATTCGTATTGCGCTGATAGGCAATAATCAACGTCTCATATTGCGCGAGAGAGCAAGTCAGTATAATGGATATTAAAATATGAGTTTTATAATAACAACAATAATAATAAGAGTAATAATAAGTATTAAGTTTATTAAACCGCTAAACTCGAATATATTTTTGATGATATGTCAAAGTATGTACTAAATACTTTAGACAATTAAAAACAAATTATGATTAAAAAAATTATATTTACAAAATACCGATCATTCTACTTTGATTGTAGAGCAGCTAATTGCAATGGTCAATTGCAATGTATTTTATTGGCCATGTATTCGTATCGCATTATTTTATTGTCATAATTTTATTTTGTCGAAACGCTGTGCAGGAATTAGCTGACACACTGTTTTATCTATGTACATTAGTTTCAATATTCACTAGCAATACTGAAAATGTATAATCAAGAGAGGCGATCGCATCTCTTTACGAGAAATCCTCGGAGGTGAGTTCGATGTTTCCCAGTCAGTGTTGATTCCTTGTTTTGTTGTAATCGGAAATGTGGAAATGTGTTTCCTCTAGTAACTTTGCTAGTTAGGTTTATTTGAACGGTTTTATCTTCTTTCTCTTTTGCTTTCCTCAGAAAAGGTAATGGAGGTAATCTTGAAGATAATGGAGAAAGAGAAGACGAGAACCTCCAGAAAGATGAAGTAGATCTTCGCCTGCGAGGATCTCTATATCTCAGGAATAATCTCGAAGGTCCGCCATATTGGAGCAAGTTTCAATTGAGAATGTCTCTAAGGAGGAGAAATCTCTTGTTGCATTCTTTGAGGCAACAGGATTATGCCGTTATAATTTTCAGTCATGCAGCAGGATTTTTGCCGTTACAACATTTGATTATGCACTTGGTAGTTGCTTTAAGAGTGACGATACTACGAAATGCTGCTCTATTTATAGAGTCTCTGATTGTTTTTTAAATACAAGAAAATTTGCTTTCTATTGTCAATTGTACAATTAATTTCTCCTATGAATCTTTCTCGACGCGACGAAGTGAAGTTGCTGGATACTGGTTGAATTTCTAATGTGGTATCTTTGATCGCCACAATTATCAACTGATACTGATGCCAGTTATACATTCAACCCAAATAACATATATCATTTGTATAAAAGATTTGATATTAATAAGTGTGGCGCCAAGTTATAATTTCATTAAATGTCAATTAAATGTATACCATCTTTTAAAAAATAAAACCGATATTATACGTATCTTTGTATTTCTATTGAAGAGATCTTATTCTTATTGTAACCCAAGTGATAGTAGTTCTAATTCTCTTTAAAAATTTAATTTAAATAAAAAAATTTTTCTGTAAAAAAACTTGGTGCTGCCAAATTTTAACTTTTCATCTAGTTACTATTCAACCCTGCATATAAAATAGAAATTCAATTTTTTGTGTGAATAATAATATTATGAAAACGAATATATGAAGCAAGTTTAATGTTAAGAAGATTAAGTTTATTAAGAATGTCATTTAGATTTAATACATTATTACTTAAATTGTTTTTATTGTTTTTCTTTTTGGTCTAGCAGCGCTAAGTTTTTTGCATAAAAATTTCTTTATTTAAATTAAATTCTTCTACTTTGTACTGTCATCTTTTTAATTTTTTATAACTAAATCTTTTCATTTGATTCAAATAATTAATAATTCAAAAACTTAATGTATTTAATATATTTACATGTATTTAAATTAAAAATATTATATGAAAAACAAATTAAATAAAATTAATGTTACTAAGATACAAATTAAATAAAAGTAATGTTACTGAATAAGGGACCCCAGCCGGATCTTCTTGCTAAGTGTTGTTTATAAATTTAAGTTTTTAATCAGCCCTTTTCAGGGCTACAACTATTATTATTAAAACTTACGAATATCTCTACATCGCAAATGCTTATGAATTGTATTTTCTACTTTGTTATTTTAACCGTGTAATCAATAGAATGTTTTCTTTTGTAACGGATTTGTGCTGAGCGGTGCGGAGGCGGGGACGTAGATCGGTAGTTCGGAAGTGCTCGTCGGATGCTGGGGTTCGGTTTATAGAAGAATTCGTGATGCTTGAGTTTGATTAAAAATAAATTATACAATTTATTTCAATAGATGAGATTAGTATTACGCGGTGTTACATAAGTGGCTTGTTGTCAGTGGCGTGGCGCCGTTCGCATATGATCGATGTAGGATTCGTGGCGCGGTCGAATATCGAATGTGTATGCGTATATTCATGGTATAGCGCGTGGGTTTGAGATGCAGCGCGTTGCTAGGCAACCGCGGATTGCTGACTGATCGGACGCACGGGTTGCTAGACAACCCTAGGCGCTTTCACGTGTTTTTCGCGTACGTCGAAGGAAAAGTCCGAGAACGTTCCGACTTTTCGTGTATGAGGAAACGAGAATACCGCGAGCGCCCAGTATTCTACAGAAGAAAGTCCGAGAATACTTCGACTTTTCGGACGGAAAGAAAGCGAGAACGCTCGGTATTCTGGTTGGAGCGAAAAAAGTCCGTGAACTCTCCGACTTTCCGGAAAGAAGGAAAAGAAGAATACTGAGAACTCGATATTACCCTGGTATCGATCGGATCGGATCGGAATATCGGAGCGGACAGGTCGGGTGGGCGGACGGGACTGGATGTTCTTTACAAAATTTGCTGGATTTATATACTCATTTTTGCGCTTATGTGTCAACACGCAATTTGTTAAACTATTTTATCAAACGGCTGATCGGTCATGCCGTCGGTGCGTCGCATTCGGAGATATTCGAGCGGCCTCGGACGGTGTGGGCCGCATAGCGCGCATCTAGTAACGAGCATCAAAAACGCTCCGTTATACTTTTAACGGAATATGTAACGCTTAATAACGAGGAATTGAACTTTTGAACTTTTTAACAAAAATAATATAAATAATTTAATCAAATTGTTTTTTATGAAGGAAAATATTTTGCAGAGCATATACGCAATATGTATGATACATTAAATACGGTTATTTCAAAATATTTAAAATATTTTTATAATATTTTTGATGTATTATATTTTTTAAACAATTTACATAACGTTTAGATCATAATTATCAAAATTATTTATTTTAACAAATATTTTTCATACTTTTCTTATATAAATAATTTTAAATTTTTATAATTTTTTAACTTCTCTGATACAAGATATTAGAAATAAATTTACACATTTATTAAATAAATGTGTAAATTTATTTCTAATATCTGTGAAAATGTTTCAAGATATCGATACAACCATTATTGAAATTTTATGAGATTATGTAATTATTGTAATATTATAAGGATAAATATTTTTGTATAAATTTTTTGTTAATTTTTTCTGAGAAAATGAGGAGAGAACCAAACTTTTCTCAAAATATTTTAAATTATAAATTTAAATATTTTATCTTTAAACACTATTATGAAAAAACCAATTTTTTGACTCTTCGTGATTATGAACTCACGTAATTAATCACGTAAGTATTCGTTAAATTCAATATTTTTTTTATTGTCATATGCAATTGCGCAGCAATTGAAATAATAGAATGCTCAGTTCATACACCATATTATTTACATTTATTTTTATTTCCAGATAATGTTACGAAATCAGATAATTTTTTTATTGAATTGTTATGTAAAGGATGAAAACAATATTTATTTTGTTAACTTTTATCTTATTTTAAACAATATAGTAAGTGAAGTCATCAAAGATTAGGTACCAGGCCGCGCGTCGATCTGAGGAACGCGCGCCGGCTCTGACCGCTACGTTCATACGCACGCTCATTCGTCACTTTTAATCTGATTCTGTAAAAACTACTCGTCGCACGCAATTTTGCTGAGAAAAGAAAAAGTTGTTTCTATTAGATAAAGAATCATGTAGTATACTCCAAATGCAGGAGATTTGGGATACCTTGTATATTAATATATAATATATACATTATATATATATATTTCTACATTATTATTTTACTAAATAAATATATGTATATGTTGTGACATGGTGTTATGGGATCGCTCGTCACAAGGAGCATTTGTTCCGATTATGAAAATTAATGGGTCCTGCGTCCACCTGTTTAAGGGGAGAAGTCGCGGCAGAACTCGAAGTGGCGCGAGCCACTTAATTTTTGCATTAATCTTATTTGCACCCAAATAAGAAGGGAGGATGTACGTCACGACGGGGCCCGATCATGAACCAATCGTGAAAACTCGTAATTATTTTGCGAAAAAGTATCACCTCAGGAATCGAACCTGGATCTCCTGCTTACCGGGCAGGCATCTCATCCCTTCGACTACCGAGGCATGTGATGATATTTATCGCAAATAACGTGTTTAGAATAACACGTCAACAATGACACATATATAC